GCTCGCAGCGATTGTTCGTGCCAGTCTCGTATCCTGTGCACCATGAATTGAGATCACGCTTTTTTCGGCAATCAGGCCCGGAAAGTTTAACTAGCTTGTAGTAGTCTTCGTCATTGTCATGTTTCCCCTTTGTGTCGCGACAAGCACGGTGCTCTTCTGCATCATATTCGTACTCGTCATAGTGTGGATTTTCCGGGTAGTACGTTTCCTTTACATAGCACGAAAGATCGTGCATTCTCTGTAGTTCATCGCCTATCTCCGAATTCCACAGTTCACAGTGCTTATCCTTGCCCGTCCATAGCCTGTGCACTGATCATCTTCCTCGCAATACTCGCGGCATTGACTGGGAGAAGCTGGATACGCTCGTAGTAGCTGTCCTTGAGTTGTCATGCTTCCGTGTGTACCGCGACAGGCTTGATGTTTGTACACCTCAAATTTATATTCGGGTCTCTACGACAGATCTAGTCCCTCCATCGCCAACTGTAGGTGCAGCCATGGCGAAAGCCATAGTCTGAACGGCGGTGAGAGTGATAATAGAGGCTTTCATATTGATTGGAGGGAAGCTGTTGATTGTGTGTGGTGTTTAAGTGTAGTGATTCTCGTATTGGTTTAGGTCTCTCTTTTATACGCTGAGAGACGCGTCATATTGCCGATGTATATTTTTATTTCAGACTCAATTAGTTACAATTTTGAATTTGTTCACACTTCCGTGACTTCTTCAGTTTCACACACACACATATTTGAGAAGAAAGAGCAGATAAGTGCGAAGTCGGAGTGTGTCGATATATCCAGCCAATAGTTTTTATGTTTATATTTTTATATGCAAAGAATAAATATTTCCTTCATGAGGTCATCGATCAGTTTGATATCAGATGACATCATGACTCATAAAAATATTTATTTTAACAGAAAAAAACAAAAGGTATGTGTTTGATTTAAGAAATAGATCCTTTTTATTATTATATAGGCGGCTGTGGAAAAAAGGCCTTTTGCTATTTGTTTTTGTTTTCAACAAAACATCTTAAGAATGACAATGCGTATGCCAAATCTGGGATTAATAGTACATCAATATTCAAATCTTGTACACGGACATACTGCAGAGGTAGTTACGGGCGTCACAGGTGGAATTAAATTTTTCGTTTATTGGTTTAAACTACAATAGGTTATATTCTTCTAGCTGAAACTTACCTCCGTGTCGCTACTCATTTAAGATGGAAGCGTGATACCACAATGACAAACTATGTTCAAGAAGCATTTTATCACTACTGCACTATTGCAGCGAGATTTCATTTCAATGAGTTTCTGATGTTATTTTTTGAATAAATTTTTACAAGCGAAATTCCAATCGGGGGACCTCTATTGAATACAGGAACTATTGCATTGAGACCTTTATATCGTTCGATCATTGACTGGATCATTATATCAATAAAACGATTCTAGCGCACTTACCGGGCGAAATGGACCAGTGCTATATTGTTGACCACGCTGTTAGATTATCATAGTTGAACTATGCCGAACGAGTGTCATTGCCTGTTGATCAGTGATCAGTGATCAGTATTTGTATAACACAAATCTTGATTATCACTCACTACAAGATAGTGAATGGAAGATCCCCTGTGAATAGTCTAATAATTGTTTATTTCAAGCGTCATGTGTGAGCTTATTGATATGTGGCGTCGTAAATCTCGGTGGAGCGTGTAGATGCCGCACGAGCAATGGTTCAGTTCGAGAGTATCTGAGTTAGTACCTTATTTATACGCAAATCCAGTAGGTACATACAAGATTCTAATACGCCATCGCTTGCACGACGATTTCAATTACTGCACACATCGATGTATCGGTACACGTTTATACGTTTATTCACACGGGTGTATGCAATTCCGGCGTATCAAACAGGACTGGTTTGGGTTCATAGACCGTTTGCCTCACGTGAGAGCTCCCGGGTGTAACGGGGTCTCTCAGTAACTTAAACATGCCCGTGCCAATGGAGATAGGGATGCCCATCATAATGCATTCACTGGGGCCGGTGATCTTGTCCACCTGGAATAGATTGGATAAATAATCAGACGGGGCAGGGTAAAATAGGTGTTATTCTCATACATA